GGCTGTTCCCAGCCAGGACCGGCTGCCGTGTGCCTCCCTGCCCATCAGCCAGGGAGACTGTGAAGCACGAGGCTGCTGCTATGACCCCAGAGACAGGGTGAAACCTTGCTACTTTGGTAACACAGGTAAGCCTGAGCACCTGTTCTCCCTCCCTCCTGAGCTGCTGCAAAACAGGATTTCTGATTTTACTGGCAGGGCAAGCCAGCGCTTGGTGTGTACCACTCCTGCAGGTGGCTCAGGGCCATGTTTTTGGCTGCCAGGAATATCATGTCCCAGTCAAGTGTCCAGCATTTTCCACTCTATTGCAACACACCTGGTTTTATGCCCAGCATCGGTGTTGTTGTTGGAACTGGCTGCACTTGTCTTGCCATACTTAGCACTTGTTTTGTGGGTTAAAGGCAGGACATCTTGCAGGACTTGCTGGTCTTGTCTTGGTTGTGATGTTAGAGCATCCTTCCCATCTCTCTTATCTCTGAGCTCAAGGCTGATTCCATCTTTTTCTCCAGTGACAGCTCATTGCACACCAGATGGCCAGTTTCCCATTGCTGTTTCTCGAGATGTCACCCTGCCACCTGTTGCCCTGGGCTCAGTGCAACTGGCCAGTGGACACAGTACTGGCTGTGTCCCTGTCCTAACAAACAATGCCTTTGTTGTGTACCAGTTTCCACTCTCTGCCTGTGGCACTACTTTTCGGGTAAGAGCTGCAGCTGTTGCTAGGCTGGAAGAGCTGGAACAGCCTGCCATGGCTTTAGCTGCTCAGTGGACATCCTACAGACTTGCAGAGGCCAAATGCTGTTCTCCAGCCTCATACTGCTCCAACCTGACTTTACCACAGTGATGGTTCCTATCTGTCATTCCAGATGAATGCAGACCAGGCCATATATGAGAATGAGTCGGTGGCAAGCAGGGATGTGAAGACTGGGAGCCTTGGCTCTGTCACTAGGGATAGCACTTTGAGGCATTACCCTGGGGCTGATGTTGCTGGGTGTCCCTGGGTTCAATGTCACTAGAGAAATTCCTGCTTGTCACAACCTCTGAATTCACATGAGGGCCCTGGAGTAGGTTAAAGACCAGTGTATCTCTAATTAGTAAGAATAAAGCTGGAATTGATCAGTAACAATCTGCAGATTCTCAAATCTAAACACTAAAGAGAATTTCAAGTATTTGTTGAAAGGAAGTGACAGAAGAAAGGAGATATAAGCAGATGATAGGTTGCCATATTGGAGAAAGGGGATATCAGAGTGGCTTTGCCTGATTTGGAGATTTCCTTTCCCACCAGGCTATATGTCTGATGTACTTATTCCATCAATGGGAGCTCTGTTCCCTTGAGTGTTCAGGTCTTTGCATTGCCACCACTCCCTGCTGTGTCCCTGCCAGATCCTCTGTCTCTGGAGCTGCGTGTTGCCTCAGGTAGGAGAGGTTTGCAGGACCTCAGAGCAGGGCTCTGGTCTTTGATGTCTAACAGTGGAGTATTGATGGGTTAACCCAGCACTGCTTCCCTGCCATGGTGGGAACTTACTGATATGGCTCTAAAGGATGCCTATTCCTGTTTCTTGATGCTCTTAAATGGCTCTTGGGTTTCTTCTGTCCCAAATGGAAGCTATACTTCCTACTATATGGACAGTGACTGTTGCAGTGTGCTTTAAACTTCCGGGTCCCTTACCCAGGTGTGCCTATACCTCTCTCCTTTCCCCCCTCGCCCCCTTGCTGAGTGAGTCCTGTCAATCAGTTTTAACATTCCAGCAAGGCCTTGTGTGGTTGGCCAAGTTCAAAGGATGCCCCTCAGGCCCAGAGGTCATTGGTCTGTCTAGGTGCCATCCTCTCCTGAGACCCCGCCCCTCCCACCTGGTTGGTGGCTCACCTGTCCCCTCCCCTCCCCCTGCCCAGGGAGCTTAAAAGGTGANGTCTGTGGCTCAGGAGGGAGTGACTCTGGCTGTCAGAATCTGAGTTTATATCCCAAAGGTCTGTGTTAGTTCAAGAGCAGGTTTTGAGTCACATGGCTGAGTCAGTCAATGTTTACTAGTTAATCATTTGTTAGATTGCCCTGTGTTATGAAACTAAGACTTTTATTGGTATTAATTGTTCATTGAAGTCACACCTTATCTCAAACAACTGCAGAAGCCAACAGAGATTAGGAAATCTGTAATGTGCTCAAAAAACTTGTTTTCTTTTTCTTTTATCTAGACTTAATTGTTAAAGAAATCGTGGTAGGGGGACAGTGTCCTTCTGAGGCACTCACAGATATTCACTGTCACAAGAACATCTTCCAAGTACTTCAGTGACATTTGGGTTTTCTGCTCTTCTGTATTGATTATGCAAGCCCTCAGTGCTGTGAGCCATCCTTCATTGTTCCTGAAATCTTCCTGATGTTATTAGTAAACTTCATACTGCATGTCATTTGCTAAAGGACAAGCCATTGTGTTTTCCTCAGAGCTATTGCACAGCAATAGCCCCAGTCTCTCTCCCTAGGGGTGTCTGGCCTTACAAGAGAGGAGAGTATAAAATATCTATCCAGCAAGGCTAGAAAGGTCTCCAGACATGACAACAGACAAGAAGGGACTTGCTGGGTGAGACTAAACGAAGATGTAAGAAAAGGGGACAAAACCTTGAGACTCTGAACTCCTCAAGGGCTCCTAGAGGAAAAAAGAGAAAAGTACAGAGAAGAGAGAAACCCAGAACTTGAAAGAGTCTCTGGGAAATGGCTTCCCAAGCTAGGACAGAGATGTACTTGTCCGAGGCTGGTATAGGCCATTGCAACCTGGCAACTTGTCCTTGCACTTACCAAAGCAGCTCACCCAACCTGCAGCTGGAAGCTGGCATGCACAGGTTCTTGTTTTCTTGATGTCTGACTCCACTATGAGGAACTAGTGCTCTGGAAGTTCCCTAGGTGCTCTGGGAGGCAGCAGAGCGTGTCGGCTGTGTTGCAAGGGCTTAAAAAAGAGCTGGAGGCTTCCTGCCCAAGACTGCCCAGGGCCTGCGTACCAGCGGGGTCCCAAGAGCAATGGCAGGGGCTGGTAGAAAACCCTTGCTGCTGTGCTCATCTTGTTCAGTCTGACCTTAACCCTCTGTCTCTCCTGAACTGTGACATATTTGCAGGCAAAACTGATTAGAAGGTTTTGCAAGGATAGGGGATGTGGGACTTGGTGGGAATTAGCAAGAGGCCTGGCTGAGGGCTTCGTTGGGGCATACTGTGTTTACTGCAAAGCAGTGTGTTAAGGTGAGTTTCCCTTCCACTCAGAGGAGCGAGTGAAGATCTCTATCCCTTGCAAAAGTTTTTGTACCTTTGCTACAGAAGGGAGTTCTAAGTCATCCTTGTTCTCTTGGATTGGTGCAACAATTTTCTAGTTGTTCATTTTAAATCTTATTTTACTTCTTTGAGAGCCATATTCAATGCTTTGGTGGAAAAACCAAACTGTCAACAACTTTTGGCTAGTAGCTGGTCTGCTGGGCAGAATTTCTGCATCAGCTCAGATGCTGCCAGGGCAGTTTATGGAAGTTCATGTAGGTTCATGGACTTTCGTCTAATGAATGTAAAGTTTATGAGAGTTTACACTTTGACATGAGGTAGCTGCCAGCTAGCAGTGTTCATGACCTTACCACCTTGTCTCCAAAGTTCCCTGTTGCCCATGGCACTCATTGATTAGACTAGTGGTCCACAGAGAGGTTTTCTTCACCTACCTTCATCCTCTGCATGTCCTTCTGTCTGTGGTGGTCTTGGCTGCTGTCTAAACTGGTGATTACAACTGGGTCACTGGAATGCATGAGAATGATCAAATGGGTGAGGAAAAGATTTCTGAGGAAGAGAGACTTGCTTGTTTCATTTCAGCTAGGCTGCTTTCCACTTTCCATTTTCCATAACAACTTCTTTCAAACAAAGCATTTAATTTCCCTGAAGTTCAGGCTCATCTGAAGAGCCTTCCATCCCTACATGATCAAACACAGCTATTTGGTGTTTGTGTAGGAACTAGGAAAGGGCAGTTACCTGAAACTGTTCTCAGCACAGGTACTCCTTGGCAGATCTACAGCACTTCTGGGGTTCTTTCATGTAGAATTATTCTTCAAGTCCATGTAGACATTCTTTTTTATTATCAGAAGTGAAGTATTGATGGGTTAATGTATAATAAAAGTACCTCCCTATAGCTCCAAAGTACTTTACTGATTTTTACCCAGTTATCAGCAGGTAATGCAGCCAAAAGAAGCATTTGGCTGTCATACAGTGATGATGTGATTGGGGCATGCACAGTTCTTACAGGCTTTTAAAGAGATGAAGCCTCCCTCCTTGCCAAAGTCCAAATGTTTTCCCTGGTGTCTCTACTCTGTTGCTGCCTGGTGCCCTGGCAGGCACTGTGGGGAGCACAGCTGGTTCATGAGGGCTGCTCAAGCCTCAGCTACGCAGGCAAGCTGCCAAGATCCATTGCCTGTTGCGCATAGCTGCTGACAAGGTCTTACACTTTGTGGAGCAGCCATCCTGGCTGGTGCATGAAATTAGCAGAGGTAGGCACAGTGACCTTCTTGACCAGCTGGGATCATGGCATCTTGCACAGGTGTGCAGCAAAGATGGGCTGTGGGCTAAGGTGGAAGGGCAAAGGAAATGCCTCCCTCAGACTCAGCTGCTGCCCACCCACCATGCCTGTGGTGAGGGCTGGCTGGGGCCAGGGTACTGATGCTGTACGGTGCTGTGCAGACATCCAGGAGCTGGAGGATCTGCTAAAAGGCAGAACTGTAAAGACATTCACAGTTTCATGGCATGAATGCAGAAACATGCATGGAAAGATGGCCCATGAGGCATTCGCTTGGTGTGGCTGCCTGATGTGTGGCTGGGGAGGAGACTCTCCATGACACCTTGCACTTACAGGCAGGCAATGGCTGCTGGCAGGCAGTTTTCTCTGGGATCACAGAAGCTCCCCTTGCCTGTGTTTCAAGCCCATCTCAGGGGCCCACCTGCCGCTTTTTGGGGGTAGGGATCCCAGAGAGCATCCTGCCACTTAGCAGCCAGGTCTGAACCAGTCCTGCAACCATCCCCACACAAACACACTGCAAACAGGGGCTGTAAGTCCACAACCAAGAGTGTTTATGGGGAATCGTCACTGTTTAGGTGTGCAAGGCCTTCTGAGCTCCATGATTTCTCACAGATTTTATGTGGAGGGCTCTTTCTGTGCTTTTGTGTCAGCATCCTGTGTCTGGCATTTGAACATGTATAATCTTAAAAAGAATAAAAGAGCATTGTCACTGTTTCTTGCACTCATGCCATGTATTGAGCAATTAGAGCAGCAATAGGGTGCATGGGGAGAAGCAACCAGATTTCCTATGTGTTCCAGCTGTGGGAGGAACTCAGGGTAGGAAAGAAGCTTTGAAGACCCTCCTGGGGCTCTACAGTATGAATACAGACCCATCTCTTGACATTAGTTCAACTCTTGCCCTTTGTTTTTCTTCAAAGAGCACCAGCAGACTCTGCTGAGTTCAGGTGAGGGCAATGGAAGGTGATAAACTGCTGGGCTGTGTCCACCTGGGAATTTCTGGTCCCAGCTGGCTTCACAATTTAAAAGGACTAGGCTAAGAGCCTAGCAAGAGAGCAGGATGGTTGTTGTAGGGTGGTCTTGGGCTGCATCAGGAGCTATGCTCTTCTGGGTGTTTCTTGGCCCCCTGGCTTTGGTTCTGGGGACTCCTATCAGTGTTTTTTCTGATCCTACCCTGCTGACTTGTGGCCAGAAAAG